CGCAGGGGCGGGGTCGGCGCGGTGACGTCACAGCTCGCGCTCTTCCGGGACCTCCAAGGCCCCAGGCCAACCTCGTTCACTCACCTGGCCCTTGTTAAGCGCCTGCTCTGTGCAGGCTCGTGTTAAACACCTGCTGCGTGCAGGCGCTGTGCCCTGCGTTGCAGATGCCAAGAGAGGCGCTCGTTGCCCTTGGGGAGCTCAGCCTTTCTACCGAGGGAGAAACTGCGTGGGAGGGGGAGGGGTGGTGTCTGCAAAGTGCTCTGCAGGGAGGGAGGGACACTAGAGATGAAGTTTAGAGGAGCCCGGCCATGCACAGCCCGCCAGCATTCATGGAGCACCTGCTGTGTACCTGCGGGTGCCGGGGACAAAAAGAGGCCCCGTCCAGTAGGGGAGGACCCTGTGCAGGGAGGGGGCGAGGCCTGCTGGCATGCTATTGTGGGGGGAGTCAGTCAACAAACACTAACGTTTATAGAGCACCTACTGTGTGCTAGACACTTCAGAACTGTGATCTCACTAGATCCTCACAAGAACCCTGGGAGGCAGGGCTATTAAGAGCTCCATTTTATTGATGAGGAAACCGAGGCAGGTCTGAGCTGCCCAGGGTCCAACAGCTCCTAAGTGTCAAAGGTCAAATTTGAACTCAGGTCTTCGTCACTCCGTGCCTTGGGCTCTAACCAGTGTGCCCGAGCCCCCCTGACAGACAGTCTGGTGGGGGAGGGAGCCTATAAACAACCGTGAGTAGGCGGGGATAAAGAGGAAAGAATCCCCAGAGGGTCAGTAGTACTGGTGTAGAGTGACCAGGAAGAAGGAGCGAGTGTAGACTGTTCTTTAAAGGGTCTGGTTACTTTTGGCTTCTTATCCCCAGTGCCTGCCTGTCGCCACACCCAGAGTCAGTGCCGGATCAGTCTTGACCAGAAGGGAGGGAGGGTCAAGCAAAGGAAAAGATGTTGACCTTTTTCTTGGCACACACGTGTCCTTCTATGCCCATGGTCAGCCAGTGGTCATCCTCTGCAGCCCTGGGTGGGGTACTTTGTGGGCCCCCTTCCCACGCCCGGAGTGAATGGATGACCTTTGAGTCTCTTCAATAACCTGGTGACCAGGGGACCATGGCTCTGCCCCACCCCTTCTCAGAATCCTCTAGACCCACACTTGTGGGCACACTGACAGCCCTGCCCAGGCTGGCTTACCCTCCCCTTCCTGCGGATTTCCTGTTGTCTTTCTTCACGTACTTGGGCCGTGACCTTGCCTCTCCCTTCTCTGTGCCTTTGTCCAGCCTGTCCCTGGGGCCTGAAATGCGCAGCCCAAGCTCCCTACCCCCTTGGAATCTTGGCTTGGAAGCCTCATTCGCTCTCCTCTCGGCAAGGGCTAGGCACCTGTCTTGTAGATTTTTATTTCTTCTTGTCTGAGTGCATGTGCAGTGTCGGCTGCCTGAGGGCAGGGATAGTACACCTTGCACAGTGCCCGTCACCGCGTAGGGGTGCAACAAATGTTTGTTGAATTTCATTTTGAGCAGCAGTGTGGGCCTAACTATTAAAATACTAAGGCTTAGACTGGCCAGTCAGCCCTGGCAGCTCCTAGCCTAGAGGCATCCCTGGCGTTCATCCCAAATGAGAATGACCGTTTAGTTGTGGTTTTTTTATTTGGCCTATTTGCAAGCATAAGAACTAGGCCCTCCTTCCATCTGTCTACCAAAGGTTCAAGATATTCCCCAGGGAAGATTTTTAACTTGAGCTAAGGTTTTCTATTATATAGAATTTATGTATCCTATCCTTAAAGTCTTTCTATGCTTAAAAGACTCCATTTCTGGTAAGGAAAAGGGATAGCTGAAGGTGGGGGTGGCCTTGGAGGACCATCTTTCCTTAGATGGCAGCTGAGTGCCAGCATCTACCTTAGCAAACGACCTCTGAATGTCTGTGATGTATGAAGATTGATTTTTTAAAGCATGAGACTCATTTATCTGCTTCCATCTTCTCCTCTTAGTGAGAGATTGAGATAAAAGCCTTTGACGAGCCCAAAGTCCACCTCTTAATCAAGAGTGCCCAAATTGTCTTTCATCCTAGGGTTTAATTCAATGAACGGAGTCTGGGGTCTGTAGAAATGGGCGAGGAGAAGTCTAGCTTGTGGCTGCCAGGCCTCCTGAGGACCATCCTGCTCACCAGTCTACAGTGGAGAAGATATCCCCAGAAATCAGCCCATTGGTCTTGTAGGGAAGGTGGCGGGATGTCTGCAAAGATGGGAAGTCAGGAGAAACTTGTGATTGCCCTGGCCAGGGATGTTGAATGGATACTTCTCTGGGTAACTTGCATCCTTCTGAGCCTCAGTTCATGTTTTAAATGGGTAGATCACACTTTGGAGCTAGAAGGAAGCTAGACGTTCATCTGGTCCAGCCCCTCATTGTACAGAGGCCAGGAGGACCTCACGGGGATGGAGTCACACCCAGCTCCTCTGACTCTCTCTGAAGGTCCTGCCACTCCGGTACCAAAGGGGATCATGGCTGTCAGCTCATGTTCTCACTGACTTCTCCCTTTTCTGAACAGGCCAAGTTGTGAACGTGGGAGAATTCTGGGATGTGGTTGTGATAACAGCGGCCGACGAGAAGCAGGAGCTGGCTTATAAGCAGCAGCTGTCCAGGAAGCTGCAGCAGAAGGAGCTCCCCCTGGGCGTCCACTATCACGTGTTTGCTGATCCTGCTGGAGCCAAGATTGGTGGGTTTGCCGAGCAGAGGCTGAGGCGGGGTGCACTATGAGGGGCCTTTTCCTTCTTGAAGGAGAGAATGAGCCGGGGTCTCTTCACACATGTCCGGCCACAAATGGGGCTCAAGTCTTAGTTGGTGTGTTGAGAGGAAGCTTGGAGTAGCAGAGAGGGCTTTCAGGACCAAAGGTCTGGAATTGATCTCTGGCCTCACCGTTGGCTGGAGCTCTCTGGCCTTCATTGCCCTCTGTAAAAGGAAGAGGGTTAATTCCCAGGGCCCCTTCAGAGAGCCGGTCCGTGCTGTGACCTGGCTGCTAATTTCCTGAGCTAGAGAGGGACCTTTATTTTCAGTAAGTTCTCTTACAGCTGTGAAAGATTTGCAGAGTGCTGCTTAAAAGAGAATTATGTTAATTAGGCCACAGAGTTTTAATGACGACGTTAAGGCTTTGCTTTGCCCAAGTGGAGAATGCTCCCTGGGACTTCTCAGGAACGCCATTAAAGTCTCTGTGTCTTCTCCCCTCCCTTCACGTTCCCCGTATGCCCTGGGCTTATGGGAGGACCGTGCAAAGAGCAACCACCATATCTTGGAGTAGCGTAGATCCCCTTGGTGTTTCCAGGGCATGGAGAACTATGGCACCAGAAAGGTGGTGACTCCCTCGTGGGGGCCTTTATTTATGCTGGGCCAGGCCTGCGATTTCATCCTCAGAGGGAGTCCTCTGCATGGAGACCTTCCACCGATGCAGAGCAGCCACTCAGTGAGCCCCTTTGCTGGGGTCAGGCAGTGAATGGGGGCCCACGGGGGGCGGAGCTGGACCCCAGGCGCTCCTGGCTCCGCCGTGGCCCCTGGCGCCCCTCCTGGCTTCACCGCAGAGGAGTCAGCTTTGTTGTTTAGCCTGTGACCCCCAAGGTTATACTGAGTATATTGGGGTGGGTTGGGCAATGTCATTGACACAGGGGAGTCCCAGAAGAGGAACCTCAGTGTCCCAAGTTGGGGTTGTGGCTTCCCTGCAGTTTATAGTCTGGGGAGGCTTTGGCAGAGGACTGAGAGGTCAGTCATTTGCTCTAGGTTACACAGGCTTCATGTGTCAGAGGTGTGACTTGAACCCATGTCTTCTGGTCCCTAAAGGCAGCTCCACATGCAGGCCACCATGCTGACGGTCAGCCAGGAGTGTGCTGGAGACTGCTTGAACTGCTTACAAAAGCTGGTGGTTAAATTTTCACAGTGAGCGTTTACACCTTGGACATTGGAAAATGCTACAAATGAAGGCTGCTTGTGTGGTTCTGTTGAATGTTGAGGCTTAAAGTGATGGAGAAGACGTCAGTGATGCAGATGAGATGTGACAGTTTGTGTGTGCGTGCACATGCTCCTCCCTTTTTTTTTTTTTCCTTTGCCCGCTGCTGGTGGTTAAACATTGACTAGCACCGCCCCTTCTCCAAATATGGTGGAATTCTGTTTTGAACTGAATTCAGGCAGGCTCTCGTCTTAAGGAGCCTTTGAGGTCCCAGAGTCAATCTGGGCCTAAGGCCAATCATGCCAGGGTTGGAGAGCAGCAAACCTGGGCTTCCTGCCCAGCTCCTGCTGCCTCAATCTGGAGGATGCGGCCCAGGCCTCAGAGGACACTGCCCGCCCACATCCTGTCATGTCCTCCTTCCATCATTCAAGCTGTACGTGCTGTGAGCTGCTTCTCTTTGAGTCACTCCATCAGCAAGCTTTTATCAGGTCCCTGCTGTGTGCCCAGCGGTGTGCTAGAGGCCGGGGGTATGGATTCAACGAATAAAACCCTCCCTGGGCCTGTGTTTTAAATAAAACTAGTTCAGACTCTTGAGTAGATGGCTCCTCTTGGGGCTGAATGCCTGGGGCTGACCTTGTTGGCTTGAAGCCCAGGGCCAGAATGGAGGCAGCAGCAAGATGGCAGAACCAAGAAGGCATTTCCCACTACTTTATAAGTTTGGGGTTTTTGTTGGTTTTTTTAAAGATTCAAGCTCTTGAAAACTCACTTGGGGAAAACTACCTATGAGAGAAATGAAGCCTGAACAGTGTGTTGGGTTTTGGCGCATTATTTCTTGTGGAATCTGCCTGAGAACCTATTAGGATAGAAGGGTCAGAAAGAAAGAGAGGAGACTCAGGGCCTGGAGAATGCGGTTCATTCCAGCAGGGTCACCCTGGACAGGTCACCTGACTCCTCCTGTTCAGGGCAGCTCTCCACAACAGTAACTTTCAGACAAGAAGCATCCACCCTGGCAACCCCCCAGTCCCACAAAATCCCAGATCCAATAAAAATGAAAATAAATGTGGGTATGGGTATGTACATATGCATGTGTTCTCTCTCTGTGTATTAAAGCATAAGTGTACATGCATGCATACACATTCGTGTGTGTACAGCTATAGAGCTACATGTATATATGTATACATAGTATGTATGTATACATGTGTACGTGCATCCACGTAGAATCACAGAATGTTAAGCCTGTAAAGAGATCTGATTCAATCATTTTTTCAATCATGTATGATTCTTTCTGACCCTATTTGGGGTTTTCTTGGCAAAGATACTAGATTATTTTGCCATTTCCTTCTCCAGCTTATTTTACAGATGAGGAAACTGAGGCAAATAGGATTAAGTGACTTGCCCAGGGTCATCCAACTAGTAAGTGTCTGCTGTCAAAGTTGAACTCAGGTCTTCCTGACTCCAGGCCCAGCTCTATCCTCTGGTCCACCTAGCTGCGAAAGGGACCTTAGAGATCATCGTATCTAACTGAATCCTTTTACTGATGAAGAAACAGAAACTCATAGAGGGGCAGGAGGTGACTTGCCCCATTCAGTTAAGTCCAACAGCCAGTACAGGACAGAGTCTGAAGTTTGATTCGTGTCATCTGGTTACAAATGCGTTTTCTTTCCCCTGTGGAATGTCGTCCGTCCAACAGCCCGTCACATTCATCATTTACAGCTTGTAGAGAATACTACCACAAATGTATTATTTTTAAAAGCCTTAAAATCTGAATGTTACAGCCAATGTTAAAATCAATTATACACGTGTATGCTTATGTGTGTGTACATATATGTGCATGTTTGCATGTATGTGTACTTGTTTAAATGTGTGTGCACATGTATGCATGTACATGTGGGTGCATACAAATAAATATAAAGGTAGAAATGGGCGCAGCTGAATCATATGTAAGGATCCCTCCTGGCTGCATATCGACTTAGTTTCAAAATGTCATGTTAACTGTGTTTTATTATATTTCTATTACTTTTGCTAACTGTTTCCCAGTTAAATTTTAATCTGATTTGGGCTGTACTTGGGACTGTTGTGAACCGTGTCTGACGCCTCTGTGCCGGCCGTCTCCTGGTCCTTCCAGCTCCAGATCTCTGCCCCTGGGCTTCTCTTCATCCATGTGCTATGGCATTTATGTTCCTTGAGGGCCCGGGCTTTTCTTCTGTTTTTTCTGTCCCTAGTGCCTAGCACATGTCAGGCAGTGAATAAACATTTCTTGAATTGAATTCATTATCAACAATATACAATATAACTTGACTGAAATTGTATTTTCTTTTATAAATATATTAATAGAGTTTTAAAAGCTCATTCCCCAAGACCTTGTGCTCATTTTTTCTAGTGAGTTTTTCGTGGCTTGAAGTTTTGAAATCCTAACATACTGCAGTTGTAGTTCCATAATGGGTTACTTGGATATAAGCTGAATACTTCTATCTTACTTCAATGATTTTAATTTTTTTCCTTTCTCTTTTTTTAAAGGAAACGGAGGATCAACACTTTGCGCCCTTCAGTGTTTGGAAGAAATATATGGTGATAGATGGAATCGTTTTACCGTCCTGTTAATTCACTCTGGTAAAGTCACACTTCACTAATTTATAAGTTTCTTTTGAGTTTTTCACCTTTGATGCTACAGGAACTTTGTCCTCCCCCTTGGGAAAACTTAGCATTTTTGTGTATCTTTGAAGTTGTTCCTCTTTGAAAACAAACATTCCATACATGTCTTGCTTTGATAGTGTCTGATGTGGGAGGCAGCATAATGTGATTTTCTCTGTTAGCATATTCTTTAGATTGTGCGTCACGTACTTGGTCATCAACTTTTCATCAGAGATGGCTTTGATCTGGCGATTGAAAATTACTTTCTTAAGGCTGAGCTCATCAAAACATCTCCATCTGTTGGGGACAGTCTAGAGAGGATTTCCGCATTGGGTGGGCACTTGGTGTAAATGCCCTCCAGCGTTCGGGGAATCTGCGCAGTAAATGCAGTGTTGGGTCTGGGCCAGCCAGGTTCTGAGGCCAAGCCCTGCCCATCGAAGAGATCTGGTTGTTGTTGGTGATGTCTTACTTTCAGCCTCAGTCACTGGCACGAGCAGGGGCCCAGCCCTGGCCTCGTCTTCCAGCACGGCTGCCCCTTCACTCCTTCTCCGTAGTGCTGCAGGTGGGGTTGGGTGGGGCAGTTGGACTCCTCTTTGCTCCCCATTGGCCTTCCAGGATTTCTCCCAACCCGTCACTCAGTAACCGCTCTTCCCGTCAACCACCCAGTCACAGCCCTGGCAGCTGTCATCTTGAGACCCCCCCAGTAACTCCCCTCTCTTCCTCAACACATTCAGTCTCTGGCTCACCATTTCCTTCCCTTCTTTAGGTCCTGCCTTCACATGAGGGGCCTTCCACATACATTTCGGCTCTCTCTCAAACACGCTAACCGAGTTCAAATCCAGCCTCAGACACTTGACACTTAGTAGCTGTGTGGCGCTGGGCAGCCTCCTCCCTTCCCTGAGCTGTTCCTGCCCCCCTCCTCAGCCACACACAACGATGCTCATGCTCTTGACTGCGCCTCTCCCCCAAATGGAGCTCCTCTTTGTGCAGAGTCCCCTTCATGTGGCTGGAATCAGGTGGCCTCCATCTGTCCTCTGCCCTCCCCTGGCCAAGCCCTCCTCTTGACAATCTGTTTTCAGTCTTCAGATTATCTCGTATACTTGAAAGGCAGGAACGTCTCTTATTTTTAACGCACTCTGTAATTTTTACCTTTCCTTGATTCAGAGTGTCTGAGTTCTAGCTCTGCCCCAAATTCACCTGAATCAGTAAGATTTGATTACATCTGTGATTTGTGAGATCGTTTCTCAAACTCTTACCCTTTTAAATCTTGTAGTGGATTGTGGATTTATAGCCCATGCAAAGGCTTCTCCTTCTTAAAATGTAGGTACAAGCAGATTTTGCCAGTTTTGAGCCCCTCATCTTTTTCCAGACACAACTTCATCATCTAATTCATTCAGCAAGTATTTACAGAGCCCTGGTTAGCTGGGAGGCCCTGTGTGCGCTCTGCCGGACATCCGTGTCCAAGCAGAGCACAGGCCTGGGGGGAGGCAGAGTCGTCTTCCACCTGCGTCCTTTCAAATCGATGACAGAGGATGACTGACTTTGAAGGTCGCTTGTTTGGCCTTGCTCTCTGTTTTGACTTAGGCTCCCAGTAGAAGGAAGCTACGTTGCATGTGGTCAGTATGCTCAGGACCACTTCAGCCAGTGACCAATCAGGGTCCCTCATTCACTCATTTTCCCTCGGTGTGTCTTTAACTTCTTCTTGTCAGGAATGCCTTTTTCAGCAATCTCTTTGATTTTTCCAGGTGGCTACAGTCAACGCCTGCCCAACGCAAGTGCCCTGGGAAAAATTTTCACAGCTCTGCCTCTTGGTTACCCAATTTATCAAATGCTGGAGTTAAAACTGGCCATGTACATTGATTTCCCCTCTCATATGAGTCCCGGAGTTCTGGTCACCTGTGCAGATGATATAGAACTTTATAGCGTCAGAGACACCGATATCCTGAGGTTTGATAAGCCAGGCTTTACTGCTTTGGCTCATCCTTCTGACTTGTTGATAGGGACGACCCATGGGGTGTTTGTGTTAGAACCTTCAGGTGGCTCAGAATGTGGAGACCTGGAGTATAGGACTTGCCACCGTTTCCTGCACAAGCCCAGCTTAGAAGAGATGTATCAGTCTGGTGCTGTAGGCAGAAAGGGAACCCCCTCCCCAAAGAACTTGGCTGTAGGGGACCTCAGTACTCCTAACTTGCACTTAGACTTTGTCTACACGGATAGTCTATTCTACATGGACAATGATTCAGCCCGAAAGTTACTAGCCTTTTATCAGCAACTCGGGGCCCTGACCTGTGAAATTGATGCCTACGGAGACTTCCTGCAGGCCCTGGGCCCCGGAGCAACTGTGGAGTATACAAGAAACACAGCCAATGTTACTAGAGAAGAGTCGGAGTTAGTCGAAATGAGAGAAAAGATCTTCCATCTTCTCCAAGGGACACCACTCAACATTGTTGCTCTTAACAACTCCAAATTCTATCACATTGGCACAACTCAAGAGTATTTGTACCACTTCACCTCAGATGGCACACTGAAATCTGAGCTTGGCTTAGTGTCCAAAGCTGTTAGCATCTTTCCAGGGGGCTCAGAATGTTTCCGTGAAGCCCCCTGTGTCATTCAAAGCATAATGGAGTCACGAGCTTCTGTGGGCCTGGGCTCAGTGGTGGAGTACTCCTGGTTAGGACCCGATGTCACAGTTGGAGCCAACAGCATCATCAGCGGCTGTCACATCCTCACTAATGCTGCCCTCCCCCCAAGTTCTTTCCTGTGTGCTCTTAGCCTGCAGGTAAATGGACACTTGATGTACGCCACGATGGCGTATGGCGTGGAAGACAACTTGAAACGGAATGTGAAGGCGCTGTCAGACATCCGTTCCCTTCAGTTTTCTGGACTGGGGCTCCTGGCGTGCTTAGATCTTTGGGGCTTGAAAGTGACAGAAGGCCTGTTCTCTGGCAGCAGAACCAGCCTCAGCTTGTGGACCGCCCGGATCTTCCCCGTGTGCCCAAGCTTGAGTGAGTCAGTGATGGCCTCCCTCGGGATGCTGGGTGCTGTGAGGGGCACGTCACCATTCCGTCTGACCAGCTACGAGCTCTTATCCATTGAAGAAATGCTCTTCTACAAAGATGTGGGGGACATGATGAGATGGAGGGAGCGCATTTCTCAGGAAATCCATTTACGGGGGTGCCAGGCAGATGTGTCAGAGTAGGTTTGTGGGGTGTTTGACTCACATTCAGTTTAACCTTGCTGTCAAGGTTGCAGAGCCCAAGAATTCTGGCTCTTTTTTCTTTGTTTCACAGAAGTAGAAATAATGAAATTGTATTAGTAGTGTTATTGTAGCATGACATTAGTAATGCAAAAATACAAATAAACCATTCTTTCGGTGAAGGAATTAATGAAATATTTCAAACCTCCAGGTACAGAGACAGATTTTCTGAGAACATTCATTACTCCTTGGGGAGCTTTTTGAATAAGAATTAATGACTATGGACATAGTAAATTGTACATTCATGGAAGCGGTGTTTTAAGAAAAAAAAACAAAGTAGTCGTTTCAGCAGCGTGGTCTGTCAGATCATAAAAGAGCATTTATTTGGTATTTTCCTTTTAAGAAGGATTTAGGATTTGTGTGATATTATTTTGACTAAATTATATCATAAATAGTTTTTAATGTAATTTTCCTCAAGGTTTAAGTGAGGACTTTAGCATCTCTTCTGCTGCTTATAAAGGACGTTGGACTTTTGGTTCCAATAAAAGCTCAAAATACTTCTTTTCAAAATACTCCCACCCTGGGATGTAATTCCATTTGGATGAACTAATCAGAGTATCATCTCTTTAGGCCTATTAGATTCTCAAGAACCCTCCTAATAACCCTTTATCCTTAGAAACAAAACTGTAGCTAGCAAATTCAAATGAAATTAATGCTCAACAACCAGAAATTGTTTTAAAGTAAGAATTAACTCAGGGTCTTAGTGGTTCAGCATTTAAGGGGAAAAAATACACACACACACACACACATATATATATATATATATATATATATATATTTTTTTTTTTTTTTCCCCTTTTTATTTCTCAGTTAAGTGTGTGTTTTGCCCAGGTGGAAAGGGGCGGCATTTATGTGCTTACATGTATTTTGAACACATGATTTTGTTTGATCTCAGGGAATTCTCCTTTCTATGCACTCCATGAAAGATGATGCTAAGGGATGATGGGTCATTGGAAGGCCCTGATAATCAGCTAACAGGAATCTGTCCATTTGTCTCACCTTTTGTTATGAAACCATTTTACACAAATGTTAAATTACCAAATAGTTTATTGGTTGGTCTACACTGGTGAAGGTGCTAATCGGTGATAAAATCAGAAGCAGGAAATTTAAAAAAAAAATTGACCTGGATAATACACACAGAAGGAAAGTAAATTTGGGGTATGAGCTCAGATTACTTAGGTATTCCTAGTGAAATATGTAAAGCCTTTGTATCAAATCATCCGCAGATTTGTTGTGATTTTTAATTACTATGCATAAGCCAAAGTAATAAACGAACATGGAACTCTTCCGTCTGCGTCATTGCACCACTCGTTTGTTCACCCTGCAGCAGCTCATACGCTGTTATAAGAATGGCACCGAGGACATCACATCTCTTGGCAGAGATGGGGAGGAAGAGGCAGGACTTGGGCCTCTGGCCCTTGACCTCGCGTCCCGCCTCTCCACCTACCACCTCGTAAGCAGAAAGTATCTCAGTGTCTCTGCTCCTCCCTTTCTTTCTGGCGACCCGGGACAACTCGGCTCCCATCCCTCCCAGCTTTGCTTCTGTCCGTGAGCTAAGTAACAGAGACTGAATTGGGTTCCTAGCTCTTCTCTGCTTTGTTCTGCCCTCTGTGACCTGTCCACACACAGGAAGGCCATCTCCCGTGCTTGGAATGCCCTCTGCCGTCGTCTCTGCCTGCTGAAGTTCTCCTCGTCCTCCAAGGTCTGGCTGACAGCTCTCCCAGGCTCCTGGGCAAAAAAGGCTCTCTCTGCCTCAGATTTTTGTCCTCTTTGCTTTGTCTTGATTATTGTCACACCCTAACTACTGCAGATCATGTTCGACATGTGCGTGACATCCCTCCAGATTTGTCCTTGACACATGGTTGGAAGGGAAAGATCACACCCCAATTACCAGAGTCAAGATTGAAAAGACAGGCTAGGGTATTGGGTCAGATCAGATAAGAAATTTAATGGCGATAAATAGGACGTCTTACACTTTCAGAAGTTCAAGGATCACAGAATTTCAAAAAGTTAAAGGACCTCGGTGTCCATCCAACTCCTGTAATCCCCTGTACAACCTCAGTGACGGTTGGCCATCCTGCCATTGATTTCAGGGAGGTGGAGCCCCCTACCTCCACAGGCAATCCCTTCCCTGTTGGAATAGTTCTAATTCTTAGGAATGTATTCCTTACATCAAGCATAAATCTGCTGTTTTGTGATTTGTCCCACTGCACGTAATTCTGCCCTCACACCAAAGAACCCAAGTCTAGTACTTTCTGCCAGTGACAGCTTTCAAGCATTGAAGACAGCTGTAATGGTCCCTTGCCCTGCCCACAGCTTTCTCTTCTCTAGGCTAAGTAAACATCCTCAGTTCCTTCAAATCATTCTACTGTGGCATGGACTTGAGAACCTTCTCTAGCCTGGTTTCCCTCCTCTGGATACTCCCCAGCTTATCCATGTCCTTGCTAGAATGTAGGACCCAGAATACTTGAACGCAATGCTCCAGATGTGGTCTGACCAGCACAGAGTAATGATAATGATCCTAATAGCAACCAGCAGTTGAAAGTTTTACAGATGTTGTCTCATTAGATCATCATGCAGCATTGTAAGGTGGGGGCGGTTATCCCCATTTTATGGATGAGGAAACAGTCTGAGAGAGGATAAAGGATTTGCATTAGGGTCACACAGGGCACAGCAGAGGCAACACTTGACCTCGGGTCTTCTTGACTCTGAGGCTGACTCATATCCTCCACACCTTCTTGCCTCAATATTTTTTAATCGCTTAATAAAGGATCCTCTAACTAAACGGATGGAATTGATGAAGGCCGGGTCGCTCAGCTGATCTGCTCCAGGTTACCGGTGATGGCACCCACTGCGTGTTCTGTGCCTGCACATTGTGGGAAGGGCCACGACAGCGCCCTTCTCTGGGAATCAGCCATCGGGAAGGTGAGCCAAGTACATACAAATACATTTCCCATTCTGGGCTCTCCAATTGCACTCTTGCACCATTTCCCAGAAGAGCTAAAAGAAAGTATGGGATCATCAATTTCCAGCCAGAAGGGAGCTTAGAGGCATGAAGGCCAGCCTCCACATTATACAGATGAGAGAGCGGGGAAAAGTGACAGAGGTAAGATTTAAACATGGTCTTCAGCACCGTACCTAAGAATAATAATAATAGCTAGCATTTTTATGGCATCCACTAGGTGCCAATGGGGTTAAGTGCTTTATAATTGTTACCTCATTTTATCATCACAACAACCCTGGGCAGTAGGTTATTATTCCCATTTTACAGTTGAGGAAACTGAGACAGGCAGAGGTAAAGTGACTTGCCCTTGGTCACACAGCTAATAGTATCTGGGGCTGGATTTGAACTTCAGGCCTAGTGCTGTATCCACTGCCCCACCTGACTGTACCATGTAATACTGCCTTTTCAGAAAAACAAAGAAAAACAGTTAAATGATGCCCCCCATCAGTGCATGAAAAGTGATGCTCTTTTCAATCTGTGGCATATAGGGCGTAGAATAAGCCTAGGCCCTGTTTGAGGAGCTTCTATCTCAGATTGGACACAACCTCCAGAGCCAAAGGCCACTGTGTTTTACCAGGAAGCTAATTTGTGACTTGTCCCAAGTCCCAAAGTCAGAGCAGCATGAAGCCGGACTGAGCTCCCACTCTCCCTCTGTCACTGAATCTTGTAGTCTGTCCTTGGTGACGGCTCGCCATGATAGGCAGCAGCCCAAATCTGTAAGCATCACCCACCACTACGCCTCCACTACCTGGAGCCGTGCAGCCACTTTGGGCCAGAAGCCAAGAATGTTTCCCCAGCTATCACCATTTGCACAAAACAGACCAAGGGCCTCCCTGATACGTTATTTTTTTTTCTTTGTTCGGCTGCATAAAAATTCACGTGTTTGTGCCCATCAAGAACGGAATGATTGACGTGGGAGATGGAGGAGCCTTTCAGGTCCTCGGAGCGACGTCCTCACTGGTGTAAGGGCGGTGATGGAGGCGATCATTATCTGCTTAGCTGCAGTCCATTTTTCTGTGCCTCTAAGGGGTGTGGAATTTCCCTCTCTCTGTGAAGTTGAGAGGGCACAAATTCCATCATTTGCACTTGTGAAATTGCTGCAGAGATATTCCTAATGCTGGGGTCTGCAAAAGAAGTTTAGTGTTACCTATTTGAAAACATTTCTTATACAAATCAGCAGTGTGCTGGTCTCCACCTACTAGGGTTTCTCATCCTCTGATTTTTCGGAGGATGTGTGCAGCGTTCTCTCCGATTCCAAGCAGAATGATTCCTATACAATAGGGAGCAGAACAAGAGGTCCGGGCTGTGTCAGGAGAGCTGAGCTCTAGCCACCGCCCCAATGGAAAGAAGCCACGAGACCTTAGCAGATGTCATCCTTAAGCTTATTTGCTATGTCTTTGTATGTCTGAGCAGACCTGACAGTGTTCTTACAGGACCATGTCCATGCTTTTATATTTGCCCTTGCATTCATCCTCTATGTACATGTCCACCATCATCTTGCCCCAGGAAATGTTTACTTCCAGGGAGCTCCCCAGTGGGGAGAATCCATCCATGTGGATGCTCACACCTCATCAGTAACTTCAGGGCAGAGCAAAGCCTCCACCCAAAGCTGCCATTTAAAGCTGGCTCAGAGCCCAGCTGCTCCCTATCAGTGGCAGGCCTTGGATCTACCTTCCCAGCCCCCCTTCTCAGCTGCTTTTTGTGTACTGCCTTCCTCTTATTAAAGTGTAAGCATCTTGAGGGCAGTCACTGTTTTTCTTGTATTTATCCACTGCTCAGAGCCTGGCGCATAGTAGTCACTTAGTAAATGTCTATTGAAGTGAATTGAATTGGTTATGAGTGTTTTAAATCAAAGTTGATTGGTGAACTTTAGAAGTATACCCATTGGTCTCTTCAGACAACTCTCTTTTATGTTTCCTATTAGAATTCTTTCCCTTTGAGTCTTCAGAATTTTACTTTTGAGAGTTTCCCATCCCTCCAGTTCCCGAGAACCTTCTTATCCATCCTCTGAATCATTTGAAACCTGTTCTCCCCAAATCAGACTATATATATCTTCTCTCTCTTCTATCACAAACCCTAGGAAAGAAGAATAACTTTTCCCCAAGATTCCTTTTCTTTTCACCACAATTCATCACCATTACAAAGAATCTAGTCCAGGACAGATTTACCCTTTATTGATTTCTGTATTGATAATATGAAATTATTATCAGAGCAAAGTAGGGAACTATTGGCTGTTCTTCAGTCAACAGAGAGAGCTCCAGCATGTGGCCGGACAAGTGAATCCCCTAACAATAGTTTCATATCTTGGGGCTGTCCTTAGGAGAATCTTTTTCTTGTACTTGTCATGCATTTCTTTCTTCTGCCCAGATGTTTTAAGGCATACTTGGAGTACAGAATGGCGTTGTATTCTCCCTCTTCACCCAAGTTCTCTCTCCCACATGCTTCCCTTCACTGATTCTTGGATTTCATCTCCTTAGTACACAAGGCAATCCCCTGCTCCTTTTTTCTATTTCTTTTGAATGACATAGCCAGATTGGGAAGCACCTGATTAAGTTTCATCCCATCCAATAGCAGTGATAACATAGAAGGCAAAAGTTCGCCCCCTTGGCGAGGGCTTCTGCTTCCTCACACACTAGTCTTTGTGTCTCTAGTGACCAGCACACACTGTCTTATACATATAATGTGCTTAATACGTGTTGGCTGATGAAAGCATCACAGTCTCAGAGTGAGAAGGT